TGACCCTAAAATTGTTACCGGAAGCACCAAGTATTATTTGATTTGACTGCATGATGGTTCTAAATTTAACATTAATACTTTGCTGTTTGCTGAACTTCAAAATATATTATGGGAAACTCAAAAAAATTCTTTTTTTTGTAAATTCTCAGTACTAAGGCTTCCTGGGTGAGTGGCGTGCATCCTATTTCTACAGTGTAAAATATAAACTTTTGTAATGAAAAACAAACAACGAATGCATTATCAATATATATAGAACTATATATATATAATAGCATAATAATAGCTAACTCCTGTGATTAAAATAGGTAAAAAAAGAAAAGAAAACAACGAAAATAAGAATGGCGTCCATACCATCATTCACACACTCAATATCACATCACAAATTCACGTTTATCACATATGAGCACAAATTTGATGACCTGTCAAAACACGAAAATTAATCAAACACGATCTCTACCAGCTACAAATATACAAGTGTTTATAATATATATACAAGTATATACCGCAAGATAAAAAGTTGTAAGAGATCAACTATTCTACCCAGTCTCCTGTAGTGTTAAAATATAATATTGAAATTGTTTTACCAACTTATCAGATTTGCTTTTTTTCTTTGGTCACCTGATGGCCAAAGGTTCAAATGTAAAGCATGGAAAGACAGATATAATCAATCGAGGAAAAAAACCATTAAAGGATTGATTTTAACAAAATTAACTTCTGTCATTAAGTTATCTTTTCAAAGTGTTTGTACAGCTAATCAACATGTTCTAAAAAGTTGGAAATCCGAACGACAAAGGAAAAACTGACCTGAAAATAAAGCATTCAATTGCTTTTCTTATGAGCAAGTACTATAATAGAAAGAATAGTTAATGAAACAAAACAGGTAGGTAATCTGGTGTCTGTACCAGTTGTAGTGTCAAGATAATATAACAGCATAAAATCACGTCATTAAAAAAAACACCTTAACAAAAACAGAGTACCTTGGACAGTGGGTAGTGTTTGCATCACGTGTGTCAACATGAAAAGCCCATGGTTTTCTGGTACTTTTTTCTTTTCTTTCCTATCCTAACTTACTTTTGTGTTTAACCCCCCCCCCCCCCCCCAGTTTATCGGTGGTAGGTCTGCATGTCTATAACAAATGCTTGGTTTGGATAAAAAATATAAAGGAAATTTCCAGCTAGAACCATTTTGATATGGCATTAAATAATTCTGAGAATAAAAGTTAAATGAGTACACATATGTTCAATGGTGAAATGTATGGAAATAATGAACAGTATTCAAGCTCAAAAGTCCATTAAACAATACAAATTTTGGAGCAGAGCAAACACGGACCTCTAAAACATCAGAGGTGTGATTAGGTGCCATGGTCTAAGGAAAAGGCTAATCCCTTTTTAATGCAAACACTACTCACATTTTAACCCAAGTACAATATCAACACATAGAGGCACTTTTTCTAGAGCTACAGAATCCAATACCATGTACACAACAAATGGACACAAGTACATAATCTATTAGAACTCATTGCACGTAAATCAAGACAGAAAGAAAAGGTGATAGCAAAGGAAAAATTCCAAGCAATATATAGATCACCATTAGTCCAGAAACACTCATTTTACATGTCTTTCTCAATTCCTAATGTTCACTTACAAGCTGTGGTAAATATACCTGAATATAAAAGTCAGTATAGGGCCAAACATTCCTCCAGCAAGGGCAGAAATCTGCAAAATTTAATTCCAAATTTAAAAAAAAAATCATTTATAGATTACAACAATTGTTTGCTCAATTTTAAAATATCAACTATACATTAAAAAAAAAAACCCAAAATAAACAAACAACAAAATCAAGTTATTCTGGTTCATCATTTGAATGTATCCAACCAAGTTTTTCATTAATTTAGCTATGACATTTCTTGTGTGTGCCTATCATTTGATATTAAAATACTGCATTTAGAAATATAAGGCATCTTTTTCTCATTTGCTGCTGCTGCAAGTTGAAAAAAAGAAAATCTGACCACCGGAACTCACCAGGATGTCGTCCTAACATTAAAAAATCACAGATAAACAGTGTAAAACAGCATGCATATCAGCCTAGCTGTAAAGAGAACTCCTGATTTCAAGCGCAGATAATTGATTCCACATGGTTTAGAGGTAGCTAAATTCTCAACCATGCATTGATGACCTAGAAATTAGAGCATGTTATTGACATTAAGCAGAAAAAGATACCAATACACCACTATTTAAAAGGTTTTTTTTCCATTGTCTTACTTATACTTGATATGGAATTTCTGAACTCGTATGAAAATACAAATGTAAATATCTTGAAAATCTGCATTTGGTGGATTGTGAAAAATATTTGCTTTTGGTTCCAAGGAATTGCTTTGGTTTCAAAATTAGGGAAGGTAAGGGTGAGTTTGTGTGTGTGTTCTTTTTTTCATATTTAAGAGTGGAAATAGTAAAAAAAAATAGCTGAAGCAAACTGATCTATTCCAAATAAAATAAAAAGTATGTATGAAGAATAATGTACGATTTACAGAAGCTGCTATGATTGAATAAAACATCAGTTAATGTAATTGGAGAAAGAAATGCCACACACATGAAAATCTACATCATTTTGATTTGATTAAAAAAAAACAAACAACCTTTATGCAACAATGAAATAAAATACTGCCGGCATGATAAACTCAACACTTCAACTATAGACATGTTTGATACAATCATAATTGATATACATATTTTCATTTTATGTAACATCATGTAGATACAATTAATCATTAACAATATTTACATCAAAATAATCAAAACAGAGATGAAACAAAAACATGTTTCACCATTACATCATAGGCAGCTGACAACGCTGTATGAATTGCCTCCCTTTGCAGAGTGATACATAATGCAACTTTATACATGCACATACAGTTTAAGAAAAACATCATCATTTCACATTATCAGTACATAATCCAATGTCCTAAGTTGTATGGATGTGAATTAAGGAGCCCTTGAAATATTTACAAGTCCACAAAATATACAGATAATTATATACAGCTCTTTACTGTATGATTTTTATGACCTCATGATTGAGCAAACACAAAAGTGCTGTCTGACAGAATGAAACTCCTCTACATTCCAAATACCTGATAATTCACTGTACAATTTAGAAAACCAAATTGGTTCAACTTGTAATTTTTGCACACTCTTGGAGAGCAGTCAAACATAATGAATATGAGATCATATGCCTCTTGGTAACATTTTTGATAACTATATAAAAAAAATTGTTGCGATTCATTCAAATTCATTAAAAACGAAAAGAAAAAATACATATAGCTTCATCCTCAGGTGCAAATCTTCTAAGTCTATTAAAGTAAGGAAATGACTTGATCGATCTATACAAATTTCAGTTTTTATATAAACAGTAATGCAATGACCTAGTCACCTAAATATGTTCAACACAATTTATTTTGTCAAATATTGCTGTTACAGAGAACAGGAAGATTTCACTGTCACTTAAATATATAAGGCATTAAAAATCTATTTATGGCATCAAAACTTCAAACATGGATTTGCGTAGGTTAGGGTGGGGAACTAAAATTTGTCAGTGGACTAGTCAAAGACAGATTTCATTAGGTGCCTGAAATTGACATCTCTTCCTAATAGGTTTCCATAGCAACAAATGTCTCTAGATACTCCGATCAGTTAAAAATAATCACTAAATGAGATTTGATAAAACTATACTCCATCCATTGAAGGAGTAAATTCATGATGATTCATTGGAATAGAGAGAAAAAAATGATGAAAAATATACTTTCTAAGGCAAGGCTTGTTGCATCAACATAAACTTCACAGTCGACATAATCTTCACACTGGCAAGCAGATAATGGAAAAATCAATGGAAATGCTCTACAGCCAAATGTCAGATTCTCTCCAACTCCTGCCTGTGTAATCTAGAGTATGCATTTTCACAGATATAAACTTCTTATGTATAAATTTATATTTTGACACCAGTCACTAAGGCTGAATGTAAATGACCAGGGCCACACACTGGATTAAAGTAAGATATCTATCAACATTTGCTTGGATTAGATGGTATCGAGATGGCATATTTCTCTCCCACGTCTTTCTCCAAAAAGCAGATGCAGGAAAAAACAGTGACAGATTTAAAATACAAAAAAAAAAATCTCAGAAATAAAATCAGTAATCCCAATGTAAAGGAGTATACCTGTCAAAACAGCACACCGACCATAAACTGAGAATATGAACCATGATAATTAAAGCATAATTACATAAGAAAACAAAAATACATTTTTAAATCTTAATAAAATAAATCAATTTTCAACATTTTTCATAAAAATTGTCTTTCCCCGCAATTTAACATGGTGGGAAAACACATTTTAAAAAAAGAAAATTAACAACAATAAAATTGCCTTATCTTCATTAACAACTTCTATCAAGTCATTTGACAGATGTTAATTCAATTAACACCTCATGAAAAACTGCCCGCATATAAGAAATTCACAAATCAATAAGCCATTGAGGGTCTTAATCTTTTCCACTAGTGAGCCAATGATGAGCTGCACTCTGCGGCACACTTTACCCTCTACCCAGCAGCTAGAGAATGCTTGTATCAGGATTTCACTTTCTAATAAACCTACTGAATTATTAAAAAAAAAAGATGTTCAGAGGAAATTCCAATTGAACCCTTCTTGTCAGTATGAGGGGGGAAAGTATTGAGAAAACAGCATATCAATGCTTGTACATGCCTACAAATTTATTTTAAAAAACCTTTAACGTAAAAATTATGAAGTTATGATTTTAAAAAACCTCTAACGTAAAAATTATGAAGAAACAATCCTGCCATATTTTTCATACCTATCAGTTTTCAGACTTCATATACAATGATCCCATAAAATTAAGATATATGGTCCTAAAACTCGCAAACTTCACTCCCAGCTCAACAAATCTGTGAAAGTGACTCATGAAATTTCTTCAGAAATTGCACTTCATCATTCCGTAAAGAATATATAAATGGCTCTGTTGCTGTCCTTTCCTTTTCCATGAGGTGTGGCTACTGTATCGAGAATAGATGTGTACTCCTTGAATAGCTCTGTAAATGTGTTCGAGACACACTCGAGTCTTCATGAAGAAATCTGTAGCACACGGATTGAACATGCACTATATGTCTGAGATCACTCTTTTCTCCCCTTTAAATGTTCTCTTTTTCCTGGACCATTTGTCCTCTTACTCTGCACTATTACTAAGTAGAGGCTTTGTTTATTTTCACTCCAAGTTCCACATGCACCTCCTTTTTAATAGCTGAGTATGCAGGGCATCCTCGCTCTGTATTGCTCTGTTGTTCAAGTTGCTGATATTGTAGTGCTGCCACATAAAGAGAATCTGGAGTTCGGTCTGGGGGACAACAAATATATTTTTTTTTTGTTAGACACAACAACTACTGAAATGATATTTGAACTCCAGTCTTCTCATCACAATCACTCCATCTTTTCCTACATACCTGCTAGGGCAGAAAACCATCATTATCGAACCATGTTTTGTGATTCTAAAGATCCTGCTGGACTTGTGCCAACCGGATCAAAGTCAAAATCCAAACTGCCCTCCAGGTGGATTTCCTGCTGAAGCACTTTCTGCATGTCACTGTCTGATTCAAAGAAATCGGGACTCAGTTCATTCAGGGAAGTACCCGAACTGTTTTCAGAGATTACTGGCTGTGAAGAGATGACTGACTGTGTTGAGGTCATATTTGGAGAGCCAGCAAGAGCCTGATGAAGTGATGTCATGACATTTCTAGCATTCTGCTGTGAAGAAACCAAGTTGTTGTTCAGTCCATTGCTCAGACTCATGTTTTGTCTGGGCACTGGACACAGATTTGTGAAGCCTGTATTTTGTGAGGTGGAGAAGGGGACCTGATTTGTATTTGTTGTCTGTTTAGAGTACTGTGGGCTAGACTTCTGAGTGAGGGCCTGTCTGAGTAGGGAGTCTGAGGGTGACTGCCTGATGAGGGCTTCAGAGCTCTGTTCCAGACAGCGCTGGAGCAGCGAAGGCTGAGATGGGGAGGTTGGCTGTCGATTCATCATTGGTTGCTGTGGAGACATTGGCTTCATGCTGGGCTGTGGCGAGTGTTGCTGCTGGCCATAATTCATCATATGGTTGTTGAAATTAGGACTCACCTGTTGTTGAGGTGAGCGCGCTGGCGAGGACATCTGTGTGTTAATGCTCAAAGAACTACCAGATGGGCTTCCACTGTTCTGCTGCATTAGTAAGGCCTCTTGCTGGGAGTACATCGGGCTATGTTGGGCTGACTGAGGGCTGTTGTACATTCTTATATTCTGTTGCTGCTGCAATGGCATATCCCCAAATCCTCCATTAGACATCAACAGTTGCTCTAAGCTGCCCTGTTGCTGAGGACTTCGTCTCAAGGAATCTTGGTAGGTGGGAGGGGCTGGGAGGGTACTACCATATTGATTGCTGTCATTGAAGTTGGCACTTTGATCATTATACTGCGACATATTCATGTTTCCATTAGAAGACATCATCTGTTGTGTTACATTCTCATTGATATTTCCTTGACTGGAGTTGAGCAAAGAGTGCACCATTCCCCCTTCGAGCATCTCGATCTCACTGGGATCCATTCTGAGCCCCATGTCATCTGGTATTCCCATATTACTATCTAGCTTCATTCCATCCACCAGACTGCTAATAATAGGATCATATGGAACATCATTGTAGCTTCCAGATGTATCCAGTTCCTGGCCCCAATGGATCGGGGACATCCTGGGTACCTGATTATCATGAAGGTCTGGCTCTATACTAGCTGGTATTGGCGACAACCGACCACAGCTACTGGCATTAGAACTCGCTCGAGGTCGGAAGTCTGGACTCAACTGAAAACTCAATGGTGAGTCTAGATAGTCCTCTGTTGTTGACGATGGACTGTTGTTCTCTAAGGCAGCCCTCATGGCCTCCACTTTCTTTTTGACCCGACCTCGACGTTTTTCGTAGCTTTTGGTCTCCATACTGCTGACTCTTCGTCTGGGGGTTTTGCCAGGTTTGGCATCTGGATTAATGACCCACCAGGAACTTTTCCCTGTACCTTCATTCTGAATCCGCATGAAGCGACTGTGTAGAGACAGGTTGTGTCTGATGGAGTTCTGAAATAACCAAAGAGCAGACTTTATTTTACTGTTTTACAGTGAGTACTTGATACTCTATATTGCAAAGCAGGGGCTGACAAATCCAATTGCCCAGTGCCGGGGACTAGAAATTTTAGGGATAGACAAGTGAATTTTTATTAACCATGTTAACCACTTGCCCTTTCGCGAAAAAAAGTCTTAGTTTCAAGTGGACATGGGGGCTTGTACATGTAATGATCATTTTGTCTTCCTACTTTTTATATTTTATAGTAGGGCAAATTTTTGACCATGCAATTGCCAGTGGGCAAGTACTTGAAAAATCTTATTGTCAGCCCATGCAAAGTAAGAAACTTTTACAGATATTCAAAACATGTCAAATTAAATCAACCTTCACAGACCTCACCATTTCAAAAACCAAATTTATGAATTTTCTAATATTTAGAAATTGAAAACCCTAACAGAATTCACTGATTTTTTTTTTCTTTATTTCTAGAAACCTCTATAAGTATCTGATATGAAAGCCAAGTAACTGGCTAAAAAATAGCAATTAACAAATTTAGAATTTTTATATTGCAAGATACTTTAAACATGATTATCACCAAAGCACAATATTATTGAACATGCTCAATGATGAGTCAGAATGTAGGGGGAAAAAATTATTGTGATCAGAAAAAAGTTAACCTTGTCACAATGAGACCCAAAAAAAAGTGGAAAAAGAATTTTCAGACAAGAATGACTTTAAGCACATTAAGGATGCTGATTTACACATAGCAGAAATAATATCAGGTGACCTTCTCTGCTAATTCTTACATCATGTTAATCTTGTTAAAAGCCAATCACGTCAGACACATCTGAAGACCAACACTAAAGAACATTAAATATTTTAATTTCATCTTACTATGGGGTCCAGAATAACCTTTTCATGACATTTATAAAAAGGGGGGGGGGGGGAGTTTACATCTGGCCACTGAACATTTTAACAGACTTGCCCTGCCCTTGCCCAGTGTCAAATGTGATTCAAAGCTACTCCATTGAATTTCAATGTTCCAATTAAAGATTTACATCTATACTGTGTGAATGTATCAAGATGAATTTCCCTCACATATCACTTCATAACCACTTTGAGGCTAAGAAGATATTTCCAGTTTGTTTAGTGCAATCGGTGTTCTGCACATATTCAAGTCATGGGCTCAAACAAAAAACCTCAAAGTTTGAATTCTTAATACAGTGTACTGTAATATTAGTGAGTCTGCTACTCTTGTGAGATTTACATTTCAGAAACAAAACATATTAAAACTACAAAAGTATTCCTAAGTCAGAAATACCTGAATTACAAAGCAGTGTAAAATTCATATTAAAATGCCTATGCAAAAAAAGATTGATTCAAACCCCATCTAATCTCCTTGCCCAAGTCTCGATCTCATACCCATTTTAACCCCAAAGCCTCAATATCATACCCATCCTAAGCCTCATCTAAGTTAACTAACCCCTAGTCTCAATCTCCTGCCCATACTAACCCCTAGTCTAAATATCCTACCTATACTAACCCCTAGTCTCAATCTCCTACCCATACTAACCCCTAGTCTAAATATCCTACCCATACTAACCCCTAGTCTCAATCTCCTACCCATACTAACCCCTAGTCTCAATCTCCTACCCATACTAACCCCTAGTCTCAATCTCCTGCCCATACTAACCCCTAGACTAAATATCCTACCTATACTAACCCCTAGTCTCAATCTCCTACCCATACTAACCCCTAGTCTCAATCTCCTACCCATACTAACCCCTACTCTCAATCTCCTACCCATACTAACCCCTAGTCTCAATCTCCTACCCATACTAACCCCTACTCTCAATCTCCTACCAATACTAACCCCTAGTCTCAATCTCCCATTACAACCCCGAGTCTCAATCTCATACCCATGATAAACCCTTTATCCCCTTGCCTCAATCTTATACCCATTCTAACCCCCTCCCTCCCCCTTCCTAGCCTCAATCTTATACTTATTCTTCCCCCAGCCTCAACTCTCATCCATTCTAAACCCCTTATAAAGCTTAAAGCTTAAACCCTTCTTCCCAGGCCCCACCTCAATCTCCTATCCATTCACCTCCACCCCCACCCCCACCTCAATATCATACCCATTCTAACCCCTAACCTCACTCACAGACCCACCTTCATCCTACATCATATTTAAATACCCATCCTCACCCCAGCCTCAATCTTACACCAGTTTATCTTGTCAATGTGATACCTGACTTTCTGCTGTAACATCGTTTGAATCATGCGACTGTGGTCTTACAGACAGGATACAGTAGCAGTTCCTACAGGGAACTCACCACCAAGGTCACATCCCATTCATACGGACTTTACATCAATGGGGGAGCCCCTCGAGTTTCTAATCAGGATATTGCCAACCGTGATTGGCTAACAGCTGAATGGATGACCTCTGTCATTTGTACTTTTTACAGAGGTCACATACATTGAAATCAAGTTATGGGTCTTCATATTTCTAACTGGTATACTGTATAATACTGGTTATTTTAGCAACCAGCATTTAGTGATTTTATGCTAAATCAGGGTATTTTTTTTATTTACATACTCAATTTTTATCTATATAAGAAATAACTATACATATTTTCTCAATATTTGTCACTGAGTTGTTAGCAACATTAAATTTATGTTGCTTAAATTATTCCAAAATTAGATGGTCGCCAAAAATTTCCATTACTGTGGAATCATTAAATTTTGTAGTGGTTCAATTATGTCCCCTCAAACCTGTAAAATTCAAGCAATCCATGAAAATTGGCCCCTACAAATTTTAATGGTTTCACAGTATATGGTATGTTTCTGTCATAAGGATAAATTCTTAATGATTCTATGTCATAGCTCCTATCATTTCTTAATTTATAGGACATATTTATGTAACTTTAACCAATTAACTTATAACACAATTATCTTTGTCAACTCTGCACTTTTACTGCAAGGGAGAATGTGACATTAAGTACATACAACTCTCGCTACAAAGAACATCCAATATAACACAACGATTGCTTCCCTCTGATTAAGGACCGATTTCCTCCTCACTGTCCTAGTGACCTACTTTTCAGCACCTTCCTGGTCAGACTACAAAGGCCCTATGTCACTGGCAATTGTCAGATGAATAATCACTCGGAAATGTCTGAGAGCTTCTAAGACAATCAGCCTACAATAGCTCCAATATCTGGTATCGACCCCACACACAGAATGTCACATGCATAAGATGCACCTTATTTTAGGTTCAAGTCTTATGTAAGCATGATAAGTGTTCCGCATGTCAAGAAACCTAGTCTTATGCTCAAATCAATTCAAGATTCACAAAGAATGTTTCAAATAGAGAAATAATCTTTCCAACATAGAATTTGTGAGAAATTTACTTTTTATAAACAATATTTACCAGATTTAATTTTATATTGCAGTTTATTTATAGACAATGAATACAGAATTTCAAATTACCAATACTTTATTAATGACCACTACCAAAATAAAGATTCACTGTGCTGGACTGAGCAGGATATCATATCTTTCAACATGTTCAATTAAATATACATTTCCCCACTTCAATTGCAAATTCTTGGATGGAATCATTTTACTTGAGTACATATAACACATAAAAAGTGTAAACTTCTGACATTTTGATTTATCAAGATTTTAGTCAGCTACCTTGCAGTTAATACAGATGACGTTACTGCATGTCTCTGTACGACACACAGAGAGGCCGCAGGGCCCCCTTCTTTCAGTGATTAGTGTTGTCTAAAACACAAAGAATTAACACTGGAGACAACCTGATTTCCCTATTTCTTTGATCTCTTAATTGACTTGTTAAACACATCAATCAACCTGGGATCTGATCCTCATAATCATATTAATGCTTGCCACTCTCATTCAAAGTTATTAAACCATATGATGAATTTTAAATTATTTCGCTACTTGACAATCCATACATACATTTAATACAAATTGAAGGTCAATCATTTTCTTCTCTCTCTCTATGTTAAAATAGCTATGCTCCTGTCTTAAAATGATGTACTTTCCTTCCTCGTTTGAATAAATTTCCCTTCCTCTGCAAAATCTGCATTCAAGGATAATTCTTATCAAGTGATGGTACATTGTTTTTTTTTTAATTTTGAATTCCCAGAATACAGTAAAAATTGTCTAATCATCTGATTCAAATTAAAATATTGCAATATATATATCACAAAATGGTTTCACTCGCAATACTCTTGTTACGGCTGCTCCCAGCTATACAAGTGCGGTGTTTATCATTTAAATATGTACTATGTATTCAAAGAAAAGATTATATCTTACTAATCTACAATGTAACTTGAAATTAATAGATGTAAAAATATAAGTATCGGTTATAGAATTGTAAATTTTGGATGTTCATTGTGTCATAACACAGAAGGCTGTGTAGAAAAATTTCCAGAATGAGCGTTATTCAATTTGTCAGCACAGCCGTACTTGTTATGACACAATGAACATCCAAAATTTACAATTCAATGCTCAAGTAATTATGTTGGAAAAATTGAAACCAAGAGGATACAAGATGTACAATAGCAATTGTCTACGACAACTGGGAAAAAAATAATTAAATTATAACTATTCACGAAAAGGGTTGTAAACACTGAGATTACACAGTTTTCATACAAAGAAGATGTCTAAATTAAAAGAACTGAAAGATACCAATATGCCTCCATTTTCTGCCAGCTAAATTTGAAATATCTCCTGATTCAATATAAAAAGGACAGACTTCACTTGAATGTTTTACTCACACATATTTACTGGGATCAGATAGACTATGGGCAAGTACATGCAAGAAACAATAAAACTCACTCCCTGAGTTTGTAGCTCTTAAGGTCTAAAATTACTATCTACAATCCAACTGAAATTCATCAATCTGATAACTGGTTTTTTTTTTTTTTTGTTAAATATCATCTTCCAGAACAAATAGCAAATATTACTTTTTATTCAATAACAC